GGCGAAAAATCATCCACCATCAAAATATCACTTGGAGTTCCTCTGTTTGTTGTTGTGTGACTTGTGTATCTCAATTTTAACTTTCTTCTTTGGTACAAAATCATCGGTTTCCTCAATTTCATCCCTAAGTTCTTCAATTGTTTTATCTGTTGAAACAAAATTTAAACGTAACAAGGCTGTTGAATTATCTCTCAAACCAATATCAGATAATTTAGTCTTCTTTAAATCTTCCAAAGTTTTAAATTCTTGATTCATATAGATCAGTGAAGGAATGCTATATTTGCCTGATTTATCTTCAACAAGAGTGAGATTAACATTTTCCTTCTTTTCAAATCTCTTTAAAGCAATCCACAATGAAATATCAATAGGATACATTGATTTCAGTCTTTGACCATCTGGTAATTGAAGTCCCAAAGTTGCTGCTGATTTTACAGTTGATGATGTTGCTTTCTTGATTACTTCTATTGTTGCATTGTTGGAAACTCCACTCAAACGGAATGCTATCATTATTTAAATTAAATTATTTAATGATGAGTTAAAAACAAATACATACGCAGTGATAGATCAAGATCCTTCTTTTTATGTAATAAACCATATTGTTCGGGATTGATTTTATTCTTTTCGCAAAAATCCTTTAAAAGAGTTTGAAGAGAAACGTTTGGACCTTCAACTTTGATGACTGATCTCATTCCGAGACCTGCAATAATAATTGATGACATTTTTTTTGATCGAATTGTGTTCTTAAAATAACTTCCGTTCCTCACTTTATTAAATTTGCTTTTAAGAAGTGAACTTGTTACTTACCTTTATCAAACAGTGTGACAATTTAACAATGAGTTGAATGGGTCTTATTTAAAACGTTCAAAACTGCCTTACACATTTACTTCCTTATTTGAATAAATGTTAAATTAATAATTTGTTTTTTTATATTTTATTTAATTGGCAAGCACCCTTTTGTTTTTGAAAGCCCTCCAAAGATTTAATGAACAATATGATTTCTAGCTCTCTTAGCCTTTTCAGCATTCTTGTACTTCTTAATTCTATCTTCCATTTCACCTCTGAAGTGACGAATCAAACCTTGCACTGGCCAAGCAGCAGCATCACCCAAAGCACAAATTGTGTGACCTTCAATTTGACGAGAAACTTCTTCCAATGTATCAATTTCTTCAATTTCGGCATTACCCTTAACCATTCTGTCCATCATGTTCAACAACCAACCAGTACCTTCTCTACATGGAGTACATTGACCACAACTTTCATGGGCATAGAATTTAGAAAGACGAGCAATAGCATCAACAATATCAGTTGACTTATCCATAACCATGACGGCAGCAGTACCCAAACCAGATTGAACTTCTCTGAGAGCATCAAAGTCCATGAGAACAGTTTCACAAATTTCCTTTGGAATGAGTGGAACTGAACTACCACCTGGAATGATAGCCAATAAATTGTCCCATCCACCACGAACACCTCCAGCATGTCTTTCAATAAGTTCCTTCAATGGAATACTCATTTCTTCTTCAACAACACAAGGAGTGTTAACGTGACCAGAAATAGCATAAAGTTTGGTACCAGCATTATTCTTTCTACCAAAACCGGCAAACCATTCAGGAGATCTTCTCAAAATTGTTGGAACGACAGCAACAGTTTCAACATTGGTGACAGTAGTTGGACAAGAGAACAAACCAACACCAGCAGGGAAAGGAGGCTTCAATCTTGGTTTACCTTGCTTACCTTCAATTGATTCAATTAAAGCAGTTTCTTCACCGCAAATATAAGCACCAGCACCACGATGGACATATACATCAAATTCATATCCAGTTCCGCATGCATTCTTACCAAGGAAACCCTTTTGATAGGCTTCATCAATGGCTTCTTGCAATCTTCTTGATTCATTGTAGAATTCACCACGAATGTAAATATAAGCAGCTCTAGCTCTCATACCAAAACCGACCAAAAGAGCACCTTCAACTAATTTATGTGGATCATTTCTAACAATTTCTCTATCCTTACAAGTACCTGGTTCGGATTCGTCAGAGTTAATAACAAGGTATGATGGACGTCCATCAGGATTAGACTTTGGCATGAAAGAATACTTCAAACCAGAGTTGAAACCAGCACCACCACGACCTCTAAGTCCTGATTTTTTAATTTGGTCAATAATCCAGTCAGGTCCTTTGTTGATTAAATCTTTAGTCTTAAACCAATCACCCTATTGTTATTGTTATCATTATTATATAATTTTAATAATTTATCATCATGATGTTGTTGTTATTGTTATTATTAATATTATTATTTTGTTTTAAAGATATCATCATTGTAATACAAATTGTTATTAAATGAATATATGGTTGAGAGTATTGTTATTATTATTGTTCAAATAGATAGACAACGCAATTTAATGTTATTCAACAGTACAATAATACATACCCTCTTCATGGCACCATCAATATGTCTATCAAAGTTTTCATACAAGTTTGTAAAAATACGGTCCTTATCTTTCAATCCACCATGTAATTGTGTATTGTTGATTGTTGAGAAGTTACTTTCTTGTTGATGAGTTTGTGTGGCAAGAAGTAAAGGAGCAGCAACCTTCTTGTTACCAAGGGTGCGTCCAATTTGAAGGATGTTTTTTCTCATTTTTTACAAAGTTGATAATGCTTGTTAGTTCCTTATTGGTGCTTGAAGAAGCAAGCTTTTTGACTTATCGAAATTTATTTCCCAACTTATGAAACGACCATGATTGAGCTCATGTTTGTATATGTTGTTCGTAATGGTGAAATATGTTTGTGATCAAATGTGGTGGTATCTATTCTTTATTCAAAACAGAATGAATAACACCAAAACTAGAAAGCAAAAATTGAGGAATTTGAAGAGTTTCTTGTTTTTCAATGACTTGATCCAATTGATCTCTGTGAGCAACACCTGTTAAAACACAAACACTCTTCACACCAACTCTATTTCCAAGTGTAATATCAGTTTCTAATCTATCACCAACCATACAAACAGTTTCATGCTTATTTTCACTTGTAACTTGATTTTCTGAATCATGATAGAGAATACTGAGTGCAGTATCAAGTAGTAAGGTTGAAGGTTTACCAGCAACAATATCTGGCTTTCTTCCAATACATGTAGAAAGTGCTGAAACAAAACAACCACCTCCTGGTAAGAACAAACCTTGTTTGTAAGGAAGAGTTGCGTCAGTATTTGTTGCAATGAATAAACAATTTGGATTTTCTCTCAAAATTTGATGTGCCATTGCTAATTTAAAGTTATTGAATCTATTATCATATCCAACAATGACTGCTCCAATTTTGTCAACTGGATATCTTTTTGTAAACTCTTCCCATTCTCCCATAAATTCTTCTTCTTTTAATGGTTTACCTAAATGTTCATCAAATGCAGCAGCTTCAACTCCAATTAATTGTAATTCTTCTTTGATTCCATCACCTCCAATTACGTAGGCTGTTTTAATTCCGTGTTCTTTCACATAAACAGCAGCTGCATATGAGGATGACAATATTTCAGACTTGTTAATTTCTAATTTAAAATTCAGGTATTTAAATTTAAAAACCTACAACATCAATTTCAAGTCCTAAAGATTGGAATTTCTTTAAATATCCTTTTCTTGAATTTGATGAATTGTTGGTAATGAAAAAGATCTTTTTGTTCAATTTTCTTAAATCTTCCAATGTTTCTTTTACATTGTGAATTAATTCTGTTCCTTTAATTTTAAATTTCACAGTACAATGATGGAGGAAGGTCTTTAACAATGCAAACAACAAAACAAACCTCGTACTATAACTCCATCACAATCTAAACAAAAACATTTGGTTTCCGAGACAAACTTTTCAAGGCTATCCGATTCAAGTTCAATCATTTTTTTAATAATTATTAATAATTTATTTTTTGACGTATTTAATTTTTAGACACAATTGAGATAAGTCTGTTAGCTTCTTCTTGAGATAATTGAGAAAGAGCTTGTTGGACAGCTTGTGGTTGTTGTTGTTGCATTTGCTTAATCATTTGAATACTTGTAATTTGTGATTCCATACTTATGGCTTCAGTATCAAGAATACGAGCAAATACACGGAAGAGATGTGTCAAATCACTGAAGATAAGTTGATTACCTTGTTTAGCAAGGTTAATAAGGTTGTCGTGAACAATTCTAGCTTCGATCATATCACCAGCAGCTGGTAAACTCTTGAACCAAAATTGTATGAAATTATCTGCTTGAGAAACTTGTCTTGATGTCACACATTTGAATAAAGCACTCAAAGCATTACAGGTAGCAGCAGCACATTCAAGGAAACGAGCATCTTCTCTTTCTATAACTGACTTCAAAAGACCAGCAATATTTTCTGCGTGTTGATTGAATAATGGACCTCCATGTTTAGAGCAAGCACCCAAACCATATACAGCAGCTTGTCTAACTTCTGGATTGTCTGAAGGAGCAAAATTGACGAAAAGATTCAAAATATAGTCCAAATGTTGGAGAGCAACTTGTTCACCTTGTTCAATGAAGTCACAGAAAACACACAATGAAATTCTTTGTTCCTCAGGTGAGTTTTGATCTTGAACCATAACTCTATATGTATCCCAGAGATGATTCATGAATGGTTCCCAAATGGTTTGTTTTTGTGTCTTCATCATTGTTCCAACAAATTCAGAAACACCAGTTAATAATTGATCTTCCAATTCACATTCGTCATCAAGTCTGAGTTGTTCTTCGTCATCTTCTTCTTGTTCTTGTTCAGTGAGAATGCTTTGCTTTCTAGCCAAACCGTGAAGCAAGATATTCTTGAGAATTTCACAACATTCTTCAACTTGTTCCTTAGTCATACAGTTTTCACCAACTTCAACAATACAATCGTTCAATGATTCAGTAAGAGTAACAGCAGTCTTGACTTCAGGTTCAACTTTAAGAGCAGGAACGATATGCAAAATAATAAAGTCCAAAAGACCCTTAAGAGTTTGTGGTTGAGTCTTTCCTTTTTGAACAGCAAGCTTAACAGCCTTGATCAACTTTGGCATAATAGTAGCACTGACATCTCTGATATCTTCTAAGTATGGGAACTTGAGAAGAGGAACCATAATATCAGTAATTTCCTTGATATATGGCAACATGGCATCTTTCATGACAACAACATAAGAGTAGAGGCAAGAGCAAGCCAAATGCTTTTCTTCCAATGTTGAAGTTCTAATACTAATAACCTTATCACCAACACCCTTAATTGAGAGAGTAACAGATTCAACACCTTCTTCATCAACGCCTTCATTTGAACCATCAACATCAGAAATAGTAACATCAGGCTCAATAGCAGCAGACTTCAAAAGTGGAGGAACAGTGAAACCAAGATATGGAACAAAATCTTCACCAAGACACTTAGCAATTCTTGTATAAGCTTGATGGAGATGTTGAACAATTGGATCATCGGAATCGAGAGTTTGTTGTTGGGTATTAATCAAAACTTCCATAATTTGACGAGCATCATTTCCGAACTTTTCTTTACCGACAGCAACACCAATCAAACTAACACATTCAATAGCACGAGCTCTCAAAACACGTTCAGTTTTACCAGTAGCGTTCCACAAAATTTCCTTGAGGAAAGGCATGATGAAATCATAATAATTGATGAAAAGATTTTCAGCACAATCGGCAACAGCTGAAATAGCAGAGAGAGATTGTTCTTGAACAAATCTTCTACCAGTCTTCAACAAGTCAAGCAACTTGGAAAGAATGCTATCGAGATAAATGTGGACATACTTGCTTTCACAATCATCAACAAAGTTAACAATGGCAGTAGCAGCATGGGATTGAACCTTTGGAATTTGATCACTCATACCTTGGAGCAAAGCAGGAACAATCAAGCTATGATATTCGGATTGAATTTGTCCAGCAAAATCGGTAGATAATTGAGCAGCACAGTGAATAGCAGCATATCTAACACGTGGATGTGGGTCACTGAAAAGTTTGACATTCATATGAACAATTTCCTTCAAATATTTAGCATATTGTTCGTTACAACCTTCAGCAGTTTGAGAAATAGCCATCAAACCAGTGTGTCTGTATCTCCAATCGTTAGCATTATTAATGAATTCTGGAATATATTTGAAAGCAACAGTAGCAACTTGTTCAGGATTAACACCTGACAAAGCCAATCTATCCAATGATTCCAAACCAACATCATAATTGGTGAGTTCATTATCATCATCTTCATAGGTATTTGACCATTCATTTTCTTCGTGTTCAATATCCAACATAAGATTCATACATAATGGTAAAAGATTTTCAACAAAGTTTGGAATTCTTCTGACAACACTTGGTGAAGCTTCGGAGTATGAAATCATAAATTCAATAGCCAAATGTCTAACACTATCTTCAATTTGAGGAGTGCTACCAATTTGATACATGGCAGTGACAACGGCGGAAGCATATGATTTGAAGAAGGATGATTGAGAGACAGCAACTTCAATTAATTGTTCAACACAATTTGCAGCTGTTTCAAAATCATTATTATTCAATTGAGCAGCAAGAATACTCAAAAGATGAGGAATACAAGCGGAAAAGGCTGGTGTCTTAGATTTGTCAATAACAGTGACAACTGAACATAAAGCTTCAAAAGCATCAAGAGTAACACGGTTATCAGAGTCTTGCAAACAATTTCTAACCAACTCGAAGATTTGTTGAAGATATGGTTCCAAACCCTTATCCAATAAATAAGTTGATAATTGAGTGAAGATACCCATAGCACTACTTCTGAGTGTTGGGTTTTGGTCAGTGGCCCAAGTGAAAATTGTTGGAAGGAATTCTGGGTATTGATTATCTTCTATTAATCCTGAAACGAACCCAGAAATTGTATAAATTAATTTAGTTCTAACATGGGAAACAGTTTCTTGTCTCAATGCTTGGAGTAATTCGGATTTAACCAATTGTTGTACTTGTGGTGATAAGAGAGGGAAGAGAGATTCTTCGGTTTTAGTAATGACTTTTCTCAAGAGAACACAAGCAAGACCTCTTACCTATGATTTTAAAATTATATTCAATGAAAATAAGAATAAAAATTAAAACCTACGTGGATATGTTGTGATGAGCGAAGTAATTGAACCAATGAACCAACACACAAATCTGGGTTAGACTTGGTGCTATTATAATATGCTTCTGCTTGGTTTCTAATGTTATTGTCCGGAGAGAGGATATTGGCAATAACTTGTTCAAATTCTTGGAGGTTAGACATGATGGATATTCCTATTAATTTTTACAGTATATAAATAATTGTTGTTGTTGTTGTAATTAAATATTGTGTGATTATATTGCTATATTTTCTTCACCAAAACTAAGCAAAGCTTTGAAACAAGCAAAAATCAGAGGGTTATGGCGGGTGTTTTGAAATTTTTTTGCAAAGGGCATTTTATCTTTTCTTCTTTCATCTGATTGTTCTTGGCTCAACATTTTGTGGTAACCATTTATCACCCCATGTCTGCTTATTATTGCTTCTGTTTGTTGCTTTAAAATTGGAGTTTGAAGTAATTCTCTGCCAAGGAATTCAATACACAACATCTCAATGAACACCATTTAGAAATTGAAAATACTAAATAACAATATTAAGAACGTTTCAATGAAGAAGATGAAAAAATTTTCTCCACAACTTCCAATGACCCAAGGGTTGGAGATTAAGACTTTAAGATATTGAAGTTTTTCACTATTCTTTTTACGATGATGAATTTCAATCTGCTATGCTTGTTACTCACCAAACAAAAAAATTGAGAGTATGGATAACAAGCTATAGGCGCCAATTTGATTGACCATTCACTTGCACTCGCCTTCAATTATTACTCGGACAATAAAAAACAATCATCTTGATAGTTGTGTGGAGTTTCACCATTATCGTCATCATCAACAAGATATTAAATATTTAAAAATTGGATTGCAAAAAAAGGACGGAAAATGTCTCAACCTGGTAAATTACAAGATTTATGGGCACTTAGAAATAAGAGAATGGTGAGTTCTCTCACCCATATTCATAAGGTATTTTTCAAATTACTTGATAATTAATTGTCAAAATTTAGTATTTGACAGGATACTTTATAAGTTTTGGATATTTAGTATTTAAATCGTATGAACATTTTCAAACATATAGATGGTTAGGAGACAATTTGGAAGTATCACAGAGTACTATGGATAAATTTAAGGAATTATTTCCATTAGATTTTGAATTAATTCAAAAATTGAAACAAACTAGAAATTTATCATTTAACATATTTGGACCTACAGCATTTGGACTGGGTGTTTCATTCCTTTATCCATGGTACTTCAAAACACCACAACTTCATCACATTAGTACACAAACAGCTTTTACGAGAGGATTTAAAGTAATCTATTTTTCAGTTGCATTATCTTTGGTTTCTGCTTTATTACCATTTTTCCATACTTATTATACAGTTGCTTCTAAACAGGTTTGTGAGGATACAACATTTAGATATCAAGCATTCTGCATGTCACAAAAGGATAAAGATTGGTCAAAGAAGATGATCATGTCACGTTCAGGTATCAAACCGCACCCATATTCAAAATTTGATTAAATTATTTAAAAATTTCCTAAATTGGCTATTAATTGTTTTACAAGAAGCAAGTTGGATTTTTAGTGGATTTCCTTCCCTCATGAACATTTAAAATTACCAACAATCCAAACACCACTTCTTCATTATCAAGATCAAAATCGCACCTGCAATATTTAGAAAAAAAGCTTTCCTTTTTGATTGTCTTGCCATCATCTACTGTGTAATAGAATATTACCTTAACATTGTCATCCTGATTACCAAAATTTTTCGAAAGAAAATAGTTCCATGATTGACTTCCAGCTTTCTCAATAGAAACTTTCAACCCACCACCAAATAATTCAAAATGGTGCTCTTTTTCAAAATAAGTACTGTAATATTGTGTAAATTGGGTAGTTTGATTGATTAAATGAAGTGATTTGTAATCTATTTCCTCGTTCTGTATTCCTAATATTTCAGCCATTTGTTTGTGTTTAGTAAAAAAATGACCACCTTTGATAACACGCTTGGATTCATTCTTGATGTATTCAATTGACCTTTCAACAGGTTGTAACATTTCTTTTGTAATCTGGTTAATATCATCAATTCCATTTTGAGTCTTGATTGCTTCAATTAACACATAACATTTCCAATCAAATGGAAATTCTGATTCTTGACATATTAAATTGGCAAGCTCTATTGAGGGTTGTTCTCCCTCTATCGATCTTAATAATAAAAAGTAATCTTCTTCAGTCAACTTGAATTCCATCCAAGATTTAACTTGTATTCTACAAAAATCCTCCATTAATCCACTATTCCTATCCAACATTGATTTTAACATGTAATTCATGTCAAAATATTTTGTGAGCTGAACAATTCTCCTTGCCTGTTCGAAATCCCCATTTTCACCAACACAAATCCGTTCATCAATTTTATCAGAATACAAATATTTGAAAATAATTTCAAAATCAGATTCTTCCAAAATTTCGTCTTTGCTCACAATTGAATCTTGAACTTGACACAAATCAATAATAAATCTTCCTTCTTCATCTTTACCTAAATTCCACTCACTATTCGAATCAATCATCTTTCTTAAAAGCCCGCTTCTTTTTGCAATAAAATCATTTAAATAAAAATCCTTGAAAGTTGTTTTGATTACAACATTAGATAATTTACGATATTTGAGAAAGGGGTTAGAATGATTGCTTTCATCACTGGAAGAGGGATTCGAATAATTGTAGTGGTTTATAAGAAAGGTTGTTAGATCGGAGGAGGTTTCATCTAATGCCGTTTCTTCTTGTTGACTATCAAAAGTTTGGGAATAGAGGCGCTTCTTGTTTTCAGCCATTTTTTTAAATCTGGTTAAATTGTTTTATTGTGAGTTTTACAATCTCAAGATTTGTTAGGAAATCAAAATCTCTCTTCATCCACAAATACTAATGAAAAAACACATACTTTTTTATTTGGCCAATTCCCCATCGTGGAAAAGAAATAGTACAAAAACAAGCATTATTTAATTACATTTGGGCGGCACAATTTTTTGTAAGATGAGTTCAATTTTCAAATAATTGAACAAGGAACAGTATCAAGTTGACATTTGGCATAAATCCTGTAGCATGCTTAGGTTTTCAATCTTCAAAACAATAACAACAAAATGTCTGATATCAATATTAAATGTGTATGCGTTGGAGATGGTGCAGTTGGTAAAACAATGCTGTTAATGAGCTATGCTTTTGGTAAAATAGCAGATGACAGCTATATTCCAACAGTTTTTGATAATTACAGTGCAAATACAAAGTACAATAATGAAGTTGTGTTGATTTCCATGTGGGACACAGCTGGTCAGGAAGAGTAAGTTAGAAAGTCACTTCTTTATTGATTAATTTTTTTCGAAACTTAGTTATGATCGAATTCGTCCACTTTCTTATCCAGATACAGATGTTTTCCTTGTAACATATAGCACAGTCAATCCAGATAGTTTTTCCAATGTCCAAACTAAATGGATAAAGGAAATTAAATACCACAATCCTCATACACCTTTCGTCCTCGTTGGAACCAAGAAAGATTTAAGGACGAATGAAGATTTCCTTCGATGCCTCGAAGAACGTGAAATGAAACCAGTCACCACACAAGAAGGAATGAATCTCGCTAAGGAAACGGGTGCATTTGCCTTTATGGAAAGTAGTGCATTGACACAGGAGGGAGTTAAGGAAGTTTTCGAACAAGTGATTAAGGCATATATGCATGAAGAAGTGGTGGAGAATCAGAGAATTAATGATAAAACCAAAAAGAAGACTTGCAATATTTTGTAAATAAAAAAACTAAAGAAAACTTTTCTAGAGTAACCCGGTGTTTATATATTGTAAAGATCCCTATAATTCACATTGTCAATGAAAGTTGAATAGAATATTTTGGATGATTATTTGCGTGAGGTGACTTGTTCAATCATTGAATCAAGAGTTGGATATTTAAATTGGAAATTTTCTTGTTGAGCTCTTGCAGGAAGGACGAATTGGCCTTCACATAATAATTGAGCTCTCTCCTTACCAAAGATAGTCTTTACAATTGAGTAAGGGAATGGAATAAGTGGGAACGAGAATGGATTTGCTTTGGAATTCAAACACTTTACAAATTGTTTGAAATTGACCAATTCAGGCATTACAGTATTGTAAATTGCAACTTGCTTATTTTGGGAATTAAAGTTTTGATATAATGCGTGAATGTACATATTTGCAGCATCTTCAAGATGGATACAACTAAATGGTTGATTTCCATTTCCAAAAACTATTGGAATAGCCAATCCAATATATGGAACCATCATGTCATTTAAAACACCTCCTCCTTTACCAATTAAAACACCTGGTCTCATGATAATCTTGTTTTTGATATTGTTGGAATTTGTGTTTTTGATGGCTTCTTCAACTGCATTAGTGAGCTCACCAAATTGATTGTTGGCAGGAGTTGTCAAATCTTCAGTGTAAACATTAGTTTGGTTTCCATCAGTGGTGCATGGATAAAAACCAACAGCAGATGTTCCAATAAATGTACTAGCACTTTCACCAAATGAATCCAAATATTGAATCAAATCCAAAGTAGTTTTGGTTCTAGATTCGAATATTTCCTTTCTATATTTGGGAGTCCAACTTTGCTTTCCAATAGAAACACCACTCAAATTAATAGCAGCAACTTTCTTATCACGTCCATAAGTTTCCTTCTCATCAAATATTTGATGATTGAACAGAAAAACTGAATCATCATCTTTCCAATTCTTTACACCAATTTGAATTAAACTATTCTTTTCCAAATTCAAATTTTTCAATTCTTTTTCTAATGCAAGTTTAGTTTCTTTTGGATTTCTTGAAATTATTGTAATTTGTGAAAGATTTGACAATTCATCCTGAAATTGAGTGAAACCATCACCAGCAGCACCTTTGTGTGATTTTAACAATTGTTTCAAAACTTGTTTACCTAAAAATCCAGAACCTCCTCCGATCACCAAATGTGAGAGTTGAGCATTTTGATTATTTGCAAGTTTTACGTTTTGATGAAAACCTTGCTGCTTGGCTTGATGAAAAATCATTACATTTTGATTGGCAGTTGTTTTCATCATGAACTTTGCCATTGAATGTTGCTGTTTGATACTTTTGATCATTTTTTTATGGTGTGCATTGTAAGAATCAGATAAGCCAAATATTAATAGAAAGTATTTGGTCAATCAAAATCTATCCAATAGAATATGAGTGCATTAAAATTGGATTTTTTTGACATGAGATATTTCAATGACAAGCTTAATTAAATGCTATTAACCAGAAGAAGAAGCCAAATTCCTCAACCTTAATCCATCTCCTTTCAAGTTCTATTTTCACAATTAATATTAAACAAACATTAATTGAATGAACAAATTCCAATTAGAATCACTTTAGAAAAGGAATAAATAGAACTGTAAAAAAAAATAAGTTGAACCTCATTGAATGTCCTCCCAACAACCACAACACAATTACTCCTCTCCATCTTCATCAACGCCATCATCATCGGGACCTATTATTGATCAATATCTAAAACAAATTTATGAACAAGTGCATTTGGGATTAAAATTAGAGGAAGGTAATTTGCAGCCTTTGGAGGCTTTACAACATTATGGTTTGGCTGTGCAATCGATCGGATCAATTTTACAATCTAGAGAGTTGATTCAACACTTGTCAGTGAATCAATTGGCTAGTTTGAAAATGATTTATGAAAAGTGTACTGAAAGAGTACTTGCATTGTTAAATATTGTTAAAAATCCAACTACTTCTACTAGTATTGGTACATCTAATGTTGGTGCAACATTATCATCACAAAAGAGACCAGAATATTTTGGCATTGTAAAACATCATGAAGAGAAAGTATTTAATTCACAAATTGACCAGTTAAATGATCAATTTAACATGACAAGATTAAAATTAATTAAATTAGATAACGAACAAGCAGAATTAGTGAAAAAAATCAATGAATCAAATCAAAGTGGAGATGTAAGTAAAATTATTGAATGGATAAATTAATTGAAATGAAAAGAATTATTTGAAAATGAAAAGAAAATTCCAAGAAAAGAGTAAAATTAGAGAACAAATTGAAAAGGAATTGTTTGATATTGATACACTTAGAGCCACTTATTATAATCAAGAATTAGAACAATCAAATATGAATGTTACTGTTGATGGACCTGGAATTTCAGAAAATGAAATAATGGAAGAGTATTTTGATGTTGGACCTAAAGAAATATTGAAAAGTAATGGATGTGATACATTGTGGATTCAATTCATTATGGAAAATTATCATGAACACAAAATGTCATATGAAAATGAGGAATATGAAAAGAACTGGCTTGCACAATTATCAAATATTCATGAAGAGCAAGAATTATATTACTTTTTATTGGGCTATATACTCAACATTGAAAATATGGATAATCACCCTCTTTCTTCTGTATTCGAAAGCTTTACTCGTAAATTTAGAAATGAATTCAGCTCCTCAGAGATGTCTCTCATAACACCTGACTTTTCAGCATTGTATGTAAAGGAGTTTTGTGTAAATTTGACACAGCACCTTACTGAAGCATCTTCTTGGAAGCATTATCCACACCTTTCAAAACACAAGAATGTACTCTATAGTGTGATTTGCCAAGCAGTTGTTTCCAAAATTGAAAAAGAGTTAACTGAGCTATATATGCAAAAAGATGAAGCCAAACTGGTTTGTAAAAGAATTTCTGAACTCAGAGGGTTGTCTCTTGTTGATCTAGGCGCAGAATATGACCTCTGTTTAGAGGGAGAATATCAACCAATCATTAGCAAATTTAAGGAAATAACCAAGAAGGAAATTATCAGTGACAAAATCATTATTTGCAAAGATGTATACTACATGCTTACTGAAGTTGTAAAGAAGCATGTAAAGCACATTCAAGAAAGAGATTACGAGCAAAAACTCCTTCCAGTAATCATGTACATTATTCTCAAAGCAAACATTTCTTCTATATATGCAATCTTTGATTTGGCAATAGATTTTTCCCATGACATTAACAACAAGACGATATTCCTATTCGATAACACTCATTGGGATGCTATTTCACTAATCAAGACAGCTCTTTTACACATAACCACATTCTCAGACAGTTCATCAAATCAAGACCAGGAGATACAAATAGATGCTGCCATAGAAAAGGAATTTGAAGAGCTAGTAAGAGAAACCAATGCATCATCATCTTCTTCTGCCACCAACAGTCCAACAAGAAACTCACTCGAACAAACTCAACCCACTCTTTCAACCAGTCCTTCTTCCTCTTCCAATAAGAATCTTCTCCTCAATCGATTCAATAAACTCATGAGGAAATAGTATTACTCTCGGTTTGAGGACGCACAATTTTACAATGAATTTCCAACTTGAAAAAAAATGCAAACACAACCAACTACAGCAACCTCATCACGAAATTCCACAAAATCTCTAGTCATGATACACGGCTGGTTACAGAATGGAAAAATCTTTGAAGAGAAAAGTTTAGCCTTCTTGAAACAAATCAAATCAACTCCGATTAAAAAGTTTTTATTTCCTGATGCTCCACTAGTTGCAGAATTGACTTCGGAACAATTGGAATATGCAAAAGAAAATAGAGAATGTTATAGAACATGGATAAAACCAAACTTGGATAGAACTGTCTATGGAAGTTGGAGGAAGGCAATCATTTACCTCACAGATTATATTAAAAATCAAAGAATGGAAGGAAATATTGTGGATGGTTTGCTTGGATTTTCTCAGGTGAGTAATCTCATTTATCTAAGAAAGCAAGAATTTATTTGAATTTTGTGCAAATTGTGTTTGAATTTAATAGGGAGCTATGATAGTTTCCACTGTATCCATACTCATTACTTTGGAACATTATGGATTATTAAATAGAGATCATTTACCAAAATCATTTTTTGAAATTGTTAAAGATGACGATGATGATTTGGATTTTGAAAATGTCATTAAGGCAATTAGAGAAACATTCTTTGAGAGGAAAATAATTGATGGCAATGAAATTGTACAATGTAATTTGAAATTTATAATTCTTGTTGGAGGATTCAAAGCAAAGGCAATTCAAATTCAGCAAATTATGAAAGTTTTATTGAATAATGGAAAGAAGATTGGTGGTTGTCTAAAATCTCTTCATATTTACGGGATGAATGATGAGGTTATCACTCCAGCAATGTCTCAAGCTTTGGCCAATGATTGGTTTGAACAAAATGACAGCATTCAAATTTCACATCCAAAAAGACACATTTTACCAACAGGTGAAGGATTTGATAAAGAAGGATTGAGACAATTCATTATTTCAAATTTGTAGTCAACCAATAAATATCTTTGTAAAAAGATTTGGGGTATTGTGTTGGAAATTAGAACAAATGGGCTGTCAAAAAGTGGATTGACATTTGATTGAAAAAAATTTTAATAAAAAATATTTAATTAAAAAATGTCTCAACTCAATCAGCAGCTCATCGAGCAGCTGAACAAAACACCTGAAGAAATCGCCAAGTTGGAACAAACAGAAAAGAAGATTGGCGAAATTATCAATTGGTGTTGTTACAATTATCAAAATAGCGACAAGGAAGGAACTTTTGAAAAAACCAAAGATTATCTTGCCGCCGTTTTAACTGTAAGTTTTTTTAAAGCAAAAGGAAGGCTAACAACATGTTGCGTCTGTGTTGTGTTCTTTATTTTAACAAACCAATTGATTTGTTCCCGCCAAAAACTACAAACAATTGTCGTTAATCCTTTGCTGTGTTTGTTGATGACGATGATGATTTAATGTGGTGCTGAATGATGGTAAACTTTTTGTTGTTATTTTAATTGAAAATTGATGGTTTTAAACTTTCCTCTCCGCTCGATGGTTGTTTTTGATATTATGATATTATGATAATAATTTATATTAGAATGTTGTCTTTTTTATTGATTCATCAAGTCGTGAATTGGAAACTTTGATTGAATTAGAATCACAAGAAATTAATCGTATTGGAGCTGAAATGACAATTATTTATGATCGTTTGAAATCAGCACGTTCAATGACTGGTCGTGAAGAATTGACCAAAATGCATGCTGTCAAACCAACATCACGTACAGGTCTTAAGAAGAAGGTTATTGATTTACCAACTTCAAATTTCAAGAATAATATTGCTTCATTCAATGATTGGAGTGAAAGTGGTGATACTATGAGCTCTTCCAGTAATCAATCTTATCAAACCAATACTTTCCAAAATAAGACTGATTTCACAACTGCAAGTAGAGCTGGATCATCTGCTGGATTATTGGGTAACCCTGTTAGTTTGGATATTCCACTCACTCCAGGAACTCCTTCAAGTGTCTCTTCACCAGTTAGTACTTATAGCAGACAATCATCATTCTCATCTGCTTCAACACCAACAATTAACAGTAGACCACCTCCACCAAATGTCAATAATCCTCCACCTCCACCAATGAATAATAGTGTTCCTCCACCACCAATGAATACAGGCACTCCTCCTCCACCACCAATTACAAATAACATGCCTCCTCCACCTCCAGTTAAGAACACACCTCCACCTCCTCCAATGAATACAGGCACTCCACCTCCTCCATTTCAATCGAACAATATGCCACCTCCTCCACCAATGAAGAGTACTCCACCACCCCCACCAATGAATACAGGCCCACCACCTCCTCCACCAATGTCAAGTGGTAGTCCACCTCCACCACCTCCAGTTAAGAGTACACCTCCACCTCCTCCAAGTGGTGGTGGTGTTCCTCCTCCTCCAAGTGGTGTCAGTCCACCTCCTCCACCAAAGAATACTCCACCTCCTCCAACAAGAGCTGCTGTTGAAATGCCATCAGATGATTCAGGTGGTGGTAGAGATGACTTGCTTGCCTCAATTCGTGCCGGTAAATCTCTTCGTAAGGTTACTCCACCAGATGATTCTCCAAAATTGCCACCAAAAAGTGGCGGTGGTGGTGGTGGTGGTAATTCTGCCAGCTCTAGCCCACCTGTCAGTAGTGGCGGTGGCGGTGGTGACATGATGTCAATGATTATGGCCCAACGTGCAAAGATGCAAAAGAAATAAGTGTACTATATGTGAGAAAAAAATATTAATAAATAATTTATTTGCCCAATGCTTTTCAGATGCCTTTTCTTAATTGTTGTTCTTAATTTCTTTTTAAAAATTCTTCTAAAGAACAACAATTAAGAATTTGAAATAATGAGAACTGAATTAAAAATTGAAGAGTGAATAATGTAACTTCCTTAGTACATCTACTGTTTTTAACAAACAACAGAGGTGTCTGTAGTCGGTTAAATTGCTTACTTAAACAATTAGGATACTAAGCTAATGACAATGAGAGTTGGAAGAATGATATAAAATCTGATGGAATTATTCAGCCATTTCTTGTTGGATTGTTTGGCCTTATAGGAATTTTGTGTCGTTCTCTCAGCTGCACCAACTATGCGAAAAGTTCAGAACAATTTATGTCAAATTATGACTTTAGGAGAATAAATTGGTTATAACATCATTACAATCAAGGTTAATTCGAAACATTAGATAACATGTCTTTTTATCCTTGATGTTGACAGATTTTCGAATAGACAAACAATGTTCATTGGATGTTTGAACCTTTGCATTTATCTACCATCACAACTTCAAATGCTTAGAAGATGTGAAATCCATTTAATAATTCAAAACCTAAAGAAAACTGAGAAAAATTCACTACTGTTGTGAAGGTTGTCGCAGCGATATCTATCCTAAACCTACCAAATCTTTGTCCAAGTTGTTCAGTTCTATGTGAAAAAACTGTAAATGCAAGTAAACACTCAATGAAGTTTCACTAACCAACGATAATGACAACAAGATAACGCATCCAAAATGCCAAAACTGAGGAGTGCTTCGCCCGACATTCTCCTCCTACCAAATTCAAAATCTGTTACATGATTCAATTGGAATTGTTGCAAAATAAGTGACTTCTTACTGCAGCAAACTTTCTTCTTAAGGTACAATGAAGTTAGAGAGGTTAGCACCAAAACAATTACATGGCAAGGTCATTCGAAAAATTGCTTGTCAACTCCCCATCAACGTTCTCAATCCTCTCTTATTAATTGTGTGTGAAGAAACTGATAACAACAAACTGTGATTATAATCAACAAATTCCAATTACTTGTCAAAATAAAGCGCAAGAGATGCTCGAATTTCCCCACAAGAAAAAAAAAGAGTTTGAAACTCTATGAATCAACCACCCACAGCCACTACTTCAAATCAAACTCAACGACCACCATCCTCATTAACAACACAAACTGTTATACCTCATCACGTTGTTTTGAATTCTGGAGGTACTAATCATCATCATAATAATAATACAACTGCAGCAGTACTTACTAATAACATTGTTATGAGCAATACTACACCATCATCATCATCGTCAGCAAACACTCCATCATCATCATCATCAGCACCATCATCATCAGTGGTGGGAAGTAGTGGTGTTGGTATTGTTGGAGGAATGATTTCATCATCACCTTCCCTAGTAGTATCCAATAATACTACTGCTACTACTACTGTTACTAATAATTCGAATATGATGATTAATGGTGGTCAACCTAATAATCATACCATTCAACAACAGCAAGCACAATCAATGTATAATACTGGTGCTGTTGGTGGTACTACTCAACCACATCATCATAATACTACTATTTATAATACTAATGCTATTTATCAATTATTACAACAACAACAACAACAATTAACTGATTATCCTAATAATAATAACAATAATTTGTCATCATTGATACAAAATATTCAATTTAATTTGAATCATCAAGCTTTAAATAGTTTAAATAATAATAATTACAATAATTACAATAGTACTTTTGATTTTTATCCAAACTATTCACCAAATCACTTGAATACACCATCACCAGTTAATTCTACAAGTCCTAATTTAGGTAATTATGGATCACCAAATGGTTTAACTCCTGATCAATTAACTCAATTGATGAATACTGTCACATTGGTGCAAACACCTCAACATTCAAATCTTTCATCATCACCTCCTTCTTCAAATTCATCCTCCACACAAATGCTTCCTCCACAATCAATTAATTCACTTCTTCAAGATAAATCAAATGCAACAAATAATTATAATGACAATCCAATTTTGTTACTGTCAGGAAATAATTTAATGCAACAAAATGTTGATCAAACAACCCATTCATATTCTCAACAACATTTACAACCAAATGTTTTCTCCTCCTTCTTTTCTTCAAGTGCTTCAATGAGTGCCTATCCTCCAACTGCAGTTTCTAAAGCAACTTTAAATGGTAAAATTAATCAACAACGCGCAGGTTTTCCTGTATGTTACAATGTTCAAACTGCAAAAGTAACATTGAAACTCTTCTTGAATCAAAATCCTACAAATTCAATTTTCCAAATGACACAAAATAGAATGTATCAATGCAATGAAATTGAAAAACTCATTCCAAAACTTAATTTGAATGAAATTGCAATTTTTGGATTTGTAGTATTCTGTGAAAATTCATCAAAAAAGAGAGAAGTTTTAACACATTTGGAAACATTCTACTCACAATCAGTCAATCCACAAGATTACAGTGCACAAATTGCTATTGGAACTTATGGTAGAAAGTGCAGTGCTGATTTAGTGAAACATTGTGGTTTCATTATTGCCTACAGAATGAACAAGGAAAGCTTTTTGAAACAATCTGGTAATTCATTCTTTGGTGTAACTGCTGATGAAACAGCTCAATTCGATAAGGCCTTTGTTCAAGAAGTTAGATTTGGTTTTAGAAAGAAGGCAGGTCGTGAGAAACTTCCTCTCATTAGAGAACCTGTTATTTGTGATGTTTCTAAACCAATTGAATATCATGACTTTTTGAATAATCATTCCATTCTCAAGTTGGATGATTTACTTCACTCACATTATCAACCTATTACAAGATTTTGTACAAGTGTTCAAGATGCTGCAGACGCTGTTGTCACACAACCATTAGATGTCATGAAAGACATTAAAAATGTTGTCAACAACTTTACTCCAAGCAGTTCGGCTATGGATGAAACTTCTGATGTAGTTTCTGAGAAAACCAATCAAAAGTCACCAAGTCAACCTATCCAAACACCAAAGATTGAAGAGGAGGATGGATTTGACCTCTTAAAATTCAATGAATCAGTTGTAAAAAATTTGGCCAAATCCTCAATAGAAAGATGGTTGAATTATGAACCAATAGTCAATGAGCATCCAAGTTATTTGGCTGTTCTTCTTGGTTTGATTTATTCTAGGGGCTATTTTTCAATTGTTGAAAGTAAGAGTAATATTCCAATTAATATTGATACTTTGGAGGCATTGATGAATCTGGCCTTTGATGGCACCCCTGTAACTGTGGGCACACTCGTTGGAAATGTTCAAATTAATTTGAAAGAGGTTTTCCTTACCAACGATATCAATTATATTTTGTACTATTTGGAGGTTAAGGAACTTGTTCCATGTTTTATGGCTGGTGTTTACTTGTACTGTTTATTGTACTACACTAAGAATGATATGGAGAAGCATCGTATGGAACCTTATGTATCAAATATGAGAAAGAATTTCACAGCTGTAACACAAGATTTTTACTTTGAAGATTACAAAGTGCTAGACATTGGTGACTCTTTACTAACTGATAATTCACCAGAATTCATGACCTTGGCATTCAAAAAGTTGAAGAACTATGTTATCAAGATTGGTAAATACTACAACAAGTTACTTGTTGAACAAGCCATAGTTCAAAACAATCCTCAAACCTATGAATTTAATAAGCAAGAACGTTTGGAATCTTCTATTGATGGTTTCAGTAATTATTTACTGAACAGAGGATCAATTCATGAAAAGAAGAGAACAAGAGATGATTTAGGCATTAGCTCTAGCTTTACTGAAAATGATTTTATTGTCAAACCTAGGAGAACTTTTGCATTACAAAAGTATGAAGATCAAAAAATGGCTGTCATAGAGCAAGACAAAAAGGTAATGCTCATGAAATCTTTTGTTGATTCCAATACCAGCTATGAAAATAATGATGTATTGCAAGTGTTATGTGAATTAGAAGAACGAAGATTGGAATTGGAAAAGGAATTTGCTGAAAAATTGAGACTGCTAGCAGAGAAAGAGAAGTACTCTCTTCAATAAACCATCTTTTTTAACTGGGCTTTTGTCATTTCTTGCTTGCCAATAATAACTTGAGATTTTTCTAGCAATTTCCAACTAAACTTTTCGTCTGCTTGCTGAACACTTATCACTATCTTTTTAAGATCTGCCAATTTTTGGAACAGTAGAGGGACTAACTGATAAACTGTGTTTGCTTTCAAATTCTTTTGTAATGAATACTCCTTCTCAGTGGTTGTTGTAATGAACTTGGTAACTTCTTTGGCTTGCTCCTTATTTACAACTACAAATCCCATAACTGAATTTGAGAATGGTGCATCCTTAAATATTGTGTGAAGTTGGTGAATTCCAAAGTAGCATTCATTTGAATCTGTTGAGAAACTGAACTCAATGACCGGATATTCGTTCTCCACATTATTTTCTAATTGCTGAACTCGAACTGAAAGTGTTTTTCTTTTCAATGAAGGATTGTATCTACAAATATTAATATGAGAGAAACACTTGACAAAGTCAGAGAATGCCATGCAGAAAGATCGTTCGTTATCTTGCTTGAAACTAACTAAAGACTTCATCTCTTCTGTCCACATTGGATCTGAATCATTCCAATCCCCATTCCATTGAGTTGATTTCCATGGGTTTGCAAGTTGAAGTAATTTAACATCGTCTTTTGAATAACTGTCAAGAACTATATAAGAAGCTGATGGATCTAATCCCTTATCAACATCAAATCTTGAGAAACAATTAATCAAATAACCCTTCTTTGGTGCTTGGTTAACTGCTGTCCAACAGGCATCAAGGAAGGAAGGTTTCTTTGAGTTTGTATCATTGAATATAATGTCATAATTTGGATAACCGGTGAGTACTTGAAATCCAAGATAATAAAAGTTTGCCTCCAATTTCAAAAAACATCCAACTGCCTTTGCAAAAGCTTTCACTACTAGAGGTACCCAAAGCTCTTCCTTCTTGCTTGCACCAAAGTGTGGAACATTATCTTTATCGAAAGGGAAGTGGTCATCGATAATTACCTTAGTAAACTCTCCACCAACACATAAATTTACCTCATAAATTCCTGCAGTGTTAAGTTCGTTGACTGAAAATAATTTTGAAACCAATTCTGGTTTTTGGGCAATACAGTACAGATATGAAAGTAACCATGAGTCACCTTTCCTTGGAGCTATATTGTCTGGTGAAAACTCTCCAAATTTTAGTTGCTTGTAGACATCAGTAGCTCTCTTCCAGGTTAAATCTAATCTCTTCGTAATTGTTTGTAAACCCACGACGGAATTGTGATTTGGTGGAAATTCAGAGTCAGTAAAGGGTTTGCTTGATTCAATTTCCTCTTTAACTTTGTCACTAGAGTTTTTCAGCCAAACACCCAAATCAACCTTGTCTGGATCCTCTGGGTCAGAAAGAATTTTGTTAAAATAGGCTATCTGTGCAATTTGAATTTTTGGAGTTGGAACATCATCTTTGATTTGATTAATATCTCCCTTTGTACATTTTGCAATGAAATATTTAATTTCTGATTCTTCTGAAATATCATCAATTCCTTTTTCACATGTTTCAGTTGTATGGGATTCAAATTCAAGAACATCGAATTGTACTTTTGAGAAATTCGAAGCTAGTTCTTTGAGCTCTATAAACCTCTTCTTTTCCATTATTTCAAGATGAGTCAGAATGTTGGTTAGTTTCCTCTTTCTTTGATTGTTGATAGTTTCAAAAGTTTTTTCAAAACTTTCAGTGTCAGAATTTGCTTGTTTCAATTGAATTTGAAGTCGGTCAACCTTAGGTTGGTCGTTCTCAGATTGGGCCTCAATTACTGATAATGTTAATTTGGTTTCTTTTAATTTTGAATTTTCAACATCCTTGTTAGCATTTTCCAGTTCATAATTCAAATTTGTTTCCTCAACTTTTGCACTATTTACATATTCCTTTAATGTTATTTTCAACAACCTAATTTTTGTCAAAATGGAATCCAAATCTTCATAAATTTTATAATAATCCTTTCCACAATCTTCGAATCCTTGAGCAACCTTACGGCAAATATCCAAATGTGATGGAACATTTTCGGTTTTTCTAATTCAAACAAATTAGTCATTAAATTTCCTCAATATTACCCACTTACTGCAACTTTTTTTTAAAAGAATGAATATCATAAATATTGTGATAGTAATGAGAGTAATTCTCCACTACTTTTTCAAAACATTCAACTTCAGCAATCTTATCATTGAAAAAATCAGTAACCTTATCAAAGTGATCAAACAACAATTTCGGGAAGGTTGGATCCACTAGTGTAGTGAGAGGTTCCTCTGAGAGATTAATAGTCGGTTTCGATGCTACAATGCCTCCCATGATGATGTTATTGTTGTATTGTTGGTTGTGCTTTTTTATTCGGGCTAAAAAGACATGTGTTGAGTGCGATAAGGCATTCGTTGTAGTATATACTGCGCCCAAAACGAAAAAAAACCATCACAATACCTTTCTAAAATCATCTTCCATCACTGAATGAAATCATCATCATCATAGAGAAAGATGGGTGGTATAGTATCGAAACAAGCACCTCTTGTTGTTGATGTTGGTTTAATATTGGGCAATTCTCCTTCGGATGAGCTGAGAGGAGAATCGAAATTTTCAATGAGGTTAATTAATAATGTTCCTGATGTATTGAGTTTATTAAAGAAGAACGCAGAGGAGGTGGAAAGTTTTGGAAAAGCAATTAAGAAAACTTCGGAATATTATAGAACAATGAATAAGGCAACACTGACAAGTGTAGAGGCCTTTACCACAAATACAAACCTGCACAAAAACCCTCCAGAAGATGTAAATATTGTTCACAAAATGTGCATAGGAATGACTACACTCACTAAGGATCCATTCACTCCGTGTTCTGCATTGGATGATTTATACCAAAAAGTTGGAGTTCTTGTTCAAACAATTAAAGATCTCACAAAGGCTGGAAAATCAGAGTTTAAAATTTTGGAAGCACAAAAAACAAGCTCTCTTAAAGAATTAGATAAATTGAGAAAGAGATGCGCCGAACGATCGAAAAAGTTGCAGGAAATTAAAAGTGCTCCACTCACCTCAATAGCTGAAAAGACAAAAATTGATTTTGAGGTCAAGAATTTAGAAACCTATATTGCCGAGGATAAGCAAGTTATCAAAACTCAAGAAGAACTGATTCAAAAAGTTGACAGAAGTGTTTACAATATTCTGACTCACTTTGAGGTTTTGGAAAGGAAGAGAGTGAAACAATTGCAGACGCTTTCCCACAGCTACTTCCAAATTAGAAAAGCAATGGCACAATATTTGGCTGAACAAATGAGAGAAGTCTTGAGCAAAGTTTCTCTCTGTCAACCAGAAAGTGAACTCTCTCACTTGATTTCTAACTGTGCAGTTAAACCTAATGGATAAAACATTAATAATATTCACAAAGACTTTATTACAGAGGTGGAGGGAAGAATAAATTATTATATTGTACTTTATATGTCATTCGATTTTCCATTGGATGCATTTCTAGTGGCATATTCCAACAAAAGTTTCTTTATGCAATCTAACTCTTCATGCATAGCGTTAAACTTTTTTGTAAGTGTTTGAACATCAGTTTTTCTTCTGTTAAATAGTTTTTGTATCTCATTGTTGGATTCAGTCTTTTCATCATTTGGAAGTGTTTTCCATTCACTAGCTAAACCCTTAAAGTATTCTACATTATCATTCAGTATTTTATCCAATTCCTTGTATTTTTTGTAGTTCTCATTAAATTCCTTCTTGTATTGGTTATATTGTTCAAAAGTTTCAATTTTTGAAATGTTAGGTCGCTTTACAGTTGTATCTCCAATAGTAATTCCACTACCAATAGCAACAGTTAATAAACTAAATGCTTGCAATTGTTTTGTTCCTACTTTAACTGTATATGTACTACTTGTAGGTCTAGCTTTTACAGGTGGTTTGTGAGGATAACTTGTTCTATCAAACTCATTCTTAGATTCCACTTCTTCTTCATTGGAAGGTGAAACTGGCATAGAATCATTTCCGAAATCATCTCCACGAATAGGTGATGAATCCATATCTGATCTTGGTGATTCGGGCATAACATTTGATGCTTGTGATGATGACTGACTATTTGATACTTTTTCTGTTTGTTTTGATGATTGTTGTTCATTATTTGATGATGTACTCGCTTGACTAACTGTTTTTCTCATTACTACAGGTGAATCTACATCTCTCCTGAATTTTGCAGCAATGGAATCAGGATTTGCCGATGATGCACTAATCTTTTTTCTATCTGTTCTTATATTTAAATTACTACCTTTACTTCCAAATTGTTTTGAACCTGACTTTGTGAGAGTAGGTGGATTAGGAGCCCTCCCTTTCATCATATCCAAATTTAAATTTGCACGATGTTTAATCATTCCTATATGTTCAAATTTGTTATCAGACAAACAATAAAGATCAGGACATTCATTCTTTGATGCTGCTGATAATTCCATCTTGTTAGAACCAAACGAAAATTCGAATTTCTACAACAATAATAACAACAACAATTAAAATCATCACAAGTCAATAAACTTACAATATCATTATCAAGTGGATCCGATGTGAATTTCAAACTTAATTGGTCAGGATTTTGTACAATGTTCGAAAGCACACTATCAGGAATGGTCAGATGAATCACGTAATCCTGCTCACCAACACCTCCATTAATTGGATAGGACCGAACAGAACTCATTTTTTATCTACTTGCTAAAAATAAAGTTTTATTTTTCAACAAGATGAAACTGAGTTGATGAAATTCTCTCAATAGGTTACAATAATATTTCAATCTTTATTTTGTGAAATATTTTGTGGTTGTAAATAACACAATCAAAAGGGCAATAATAATTACAAATAAAATGACGGCTATAATAATTCCCCAACAAGTGAACGAGTTCTTCTTGGCAAGATTTACCATCTTTTTGGTTTGAACCTTGATTTTAGATTCAGTAATATCTACATTTTCATGAATATCTTCCAATAAACGTGTATGTTCATCCAATTCATCATCAATACTCAATCCAATTTGTTTAGTTCTGGACAAGGCATTACTCAGAGCATCCAAACTCTTATCCTGATCTAAAATAATTTAAAATTCCAATAAGTTCCAAGAAGAAATTTAAAACCTACCATCCATTACCTTCTTTTGATAAGATAATATCTGATGACCTTCCAAATCTCTTATTGATTCTGGTTCCTCATCTCTTGAATAATTCTTTTTGACAATTATTGGTACATCATCCTCAAACAACTCATTTCTTGCAGTTGCAGGATTATCAAACATCTTTTTAAAATCTTGTTCCTTTCGGATTAGTGTTTGTAATTCGTCCTTCCTTCTCAATGCTTCCTTTTTAGAAATTTCATTTGCAATTGTTGGTAATGTTTCCTTTAAATCTATTAAAACTCTTTCAATTGATTTAAATTGTCTTCTGATTTCCGAGCTGATTTTTGTCAAGTCTCCAGAGTTGGGAGAAGTTTTAAATAATTTGTTTCTTTTATCAACCTCCTCTCCTAATATATTTAACGCATTTGTAACATCATTAAAAACAAGTAACCACTGTTCACTATCCTTCATGTCGTTTTTAGTGTATGTTAGTTTTTGTAAGGTTGGCATGAATTATTGGTGATTATTAAATAATTTAATATGTGATGAGATCCCGATGATGAAGCAACAGAGAGGATCTCGAGCAGAGATTTTTTAATTAGTTTTGGTGATAATTTAAAAATAGTGAATGGGTGACGTACTGTGGTTACGCAATGAAGTGCAAGCAATTCTACAATGAAATGCAAGCAATTATTTTTTGAACTACAAGCAATTCTACAATGTAGTACAATTACTTGCTGACGAACTGCAAGAAAGTCTAAATATAAATTTCCACTTTGATCAAGAAACTTGCAAAACACACATCAAAACTTCCAATCAGCAGAAGAAGCAATAAATTTATAAAATGTCAAACAAGCAATCGAGTAGCTATGACACTTCACCACAAAGCTTCTCCAGCTATAGCAATTTAATAGATTTGCTACCTTCAGTATCTCAAGTTCCTTCATGGACCTGTACACAAGATCAACCAGATAACACACCCAGTAAAAAGAAAGATGAAAAAACACCAGGCAAGAAAAAAGAAGAAAAACCAAAGAAGCTAAAAAAAGGAACAAAACGAAAGTTTGAGAATGTGGAAGAGGCAATCCGTGATCAATTGACAATGAAAAATGTCAAGTTTTTGAAGGAGTTTTTGAAGAGTGAATTTGGAGAGACAGGAGGTAATCTTAGAAAAGATGCTCTGGTAGCAAAATTGGTAACTAGAATTTGTTCTTCTGTTGAGGAAGAGACGGATGAAAGAGATGAGTTATTCGAAGACAACATCAAAAAAAAAGCCCTATTAATTGTTGAACG